ACCTAAAAAATCGTTAACAATTATAAAAAGTTGATTTTTGATGAATCAATACATAAAATCAGCAGTTTAAGTAGTGAAAAGACATATTTTTATTAGTTTCTATATATGGTAGGCTTCTAATTTTTTAGAAATTTACTGATAAGATACAAATCAGTAAAAAATTATAGACTTCTAAAATTGGCTGCGGCTAAAACTTAGGAAAATGTGCCTCTACTTCAAACCACCAATAACCTAGGATCAACAGTGGTTTAAATAAGATTTTTTTTTCTTCTAACTTAATAGAATTTTTTACAGTGAACTTTTTCCAGATTTCAGAAGAATTTTTTACAGATTTCAGAAGAAAAAAAAAAGTGGGTACTCATGGAGAAGTTATGTTGAGAGCTCTGTCAAAAGACTTGTAGCTAGAGCCAGTTTACAATCACTAACTGATCCTATCAATTCACCTGAGAAAATGTTTGATTGGTATAGACAAAATATCAAAGGAATACATTTTCAATATATTTCAAATGATACAATTGTATTACATTGCATAGAGTTTAAATTAGAAGAACATTATGCTACTTGTTCAACAATTCCAGAAACAAGAAACAACCATTGCTTTATACCACAATCATTATCTATTTACAAATGAGACAGGTGTCATTTGACAATATGTATACTAATGTAAACATTTCTAAAATGCAGTATATATTTCTACTTACTTCTTTCACCAGGAATTAATATAGCATGTGTTTATGATGCAAAATGGTTTTTAGGCAATATAGTGGAAATATCTGAAGAAAATCAAGGTGTTCTTATCAAGTTCATGAAGCAGTCTATTTTCTTAAGCACTTTTATTTGGCCACATAAAGAAGATATTTGGTAGGTTCCAATAACCCACATTTTATGCTAAATTTCATCTTTAAAAGTTAAATCAGCAACTGGTAAACGCTATGAACTGTCAGCTAAAGAAAAAACTGAGTTATTTTATTTTTACAATAGCAAAAGTAACATAATTAAATAACTATGTAGCAAAATTATTATAAATTTGATTTATTTGTTTTAAACATAGTTTTTTAGCAAAAATTTATTTAAAAGATTCAATGTTTATATTGATTGTTTCTTAATATTATTCTTTATTACATAATCAATTTGTGCATTAAGCCAAATAACTCTCATAACTTGGTATAAGCTTTAATAAATTCGAACATGATAATCAAATCAAATTAATGGGGAGGGCTGGAATAGTGAATGTATTATGAAAATATTATAAAATTTATAGTCATGATATTAAATATTAGATAAACTAGTCTTTCCTTTCATTTTCTAGTCTTTACTTTCATTTTAAGTTTTATATGCATATACTCAGACATTTTTACTGTCTAACATTAAAAATTAAAATGCACAGTTTTTATATGTGTATGTTTATTGGTGTGTTTGAACAATAAAGGCACTTCATACATCAGACAGTGTCTGGTTTTATGTCAGGGGGCAGGAAAAACCTAGGACTATATAAAAACTGAGTTTAATTCAGGCTTAATTAAAGACTTATTTCTAGTATTGATGATGAAATACTTTTAAATTCATACATACTTTGGATTACAATGTATAATACAAACTAAAGTACAACATTAACTTTATTTTTATTGGTTTTAATGCATTTTGGGCAATTTTCATTCTGATTTTGAAACTTCCCCATGAGTACCCACTATTTTTTTTTTTCTGAAATCACTGTAAAAAAGTCTATTAAGTTAGAAGAAAAAAAATCTTATTAAAACCACTGTTGATCCTACATTATTGGTGGTTTGAAGTAGAGACACATTTTCCTAAGTTTTAACTGCAGCCAATTTTAGAAGTATATAATTTTTACTGATTCGTATCTTATCAGTAAATTTCTAAAAAATTTAGAAGCCTACCATATATAGAAACTGCTGATTTTGTGTATTGATTCATCAAAAATCATTTTTTAGGTTTTTTAAGTTGCTATTATGGAAAATGTGACATTCAAGAATTCAATACCAAACTTTTATTAAAGTAAGTCTAGAGTTGTATATAATAAAAAAAACTATGAGGTTTTCTGAAATTTTGTTTTTAAAATATAAAGCTTCAAAGTATGAACAAAACATGTTTTTGCTACTGAAGTTTTTATTTTTAGAAAAATCAGAAATTTCAAATGACCATCTCATAAACCACAAAAGATTTTATGCTAAAATTTTCAGGAAATGCTTTTCTCATTAATATTAACAAACCCACTAATCTTCATCAAAATCTGAGGGGGTCCATGTTGGACCTTGGTCCAGTTGGCATGGAATGACTCAAACTCCTTTTGTGTAACTTCTTAATTAACGATGAAACATATAAAGATCTAATTTCAAAAACTACTCATTAAAAAACGAAGATTGCATGTTTGCACAGTGTTATGATTGTCCTGGTAAAGAACCTTTCACCATCTATTTGTATGAGATTTTAAGAGAATATAAAAATGATTTCGAGACTACCAACAATAGCAAACTACAGATTACACAGTACTATTGAGTTTGACAGCAGATGCTCCAACATTTCTTGAACTATTATAATCTTTTTTTGAAAAGCTTCAAGCTCATTCTTTAATTGCCTACTCTCAATCACTGTACCTAAATCAACTAAAACAAAATATGGATGAATCAAGCATACTAACTACAGAAATATATGCTTTTGATGTCCAAGATGAAATACAGAGCTATCACAATTGGAAACAGATGATATACAGAGCTATCGCAAGTAAAAACAGATGAAATACTGAGCTATCACAAGTGGATACAGAGCTATTGCAAGTGGAAAGAGATGAAATACAGAGCTATCACAAGTGGAAACACATAATATTTTTACATATAATAAATTATAAAGACAATAAACATTTTTTTTCACTGATGGATATGCAGAGCAGTAAAAAAAATTGAAAAGCTTTTTCAACCTATGTTAACTAGCAAGTTAATTGGATCTTAAATCCAATTAACTTGCTAGTTAACATATTTCCATAACTTACCTATGTAAATTTAACAATTGGAGCAATAAAAAGGCAACAAATAAGACTCAAATTTACCCAAAAGAAGTTTCCTTAATAACTAATTATTTTAAATTAAAAAAAAGTCAAAAAATTAAAAGATTTCCAGTCTCTAATAAGCAAAAAATATAAATATTAAATATTAATTATATAATATCTTTATTTTTCTATGAAAAATTTAATATAGTTTCTTGACTTTTACCTGACTTTTTAACATAGTTTAGAACTTTCCTGACTTTTCCATGTTACTAACCACTCTGAAGAAAGTTTGAAATGACCAAACTGATGCCAAAGTCTAATGTTTTATTCCCAATATAAACATATTGAAAAAACTATCTGTTCCATAAGCTTGCTTTAGTTCGGGTAGAAAGTTTATTTTTGAAAAGGTGGAAATGGAAGAAATACAAAATGGAAGAAAAATATTTTAAACTATAACAAATACAGTCAAAATAACTTTAATAACTTAAAAAAAACTTTTTACAGTAACTTTTTAAATGACAGTTATTGTATTTGCAAATATTTTTTATTAATTTCTTAAAAAAGTGATATATTTTTGAAATTATAGTTCAAAAATATATCTTTGCTGTTACTCTAGTTAAATTTTTGTTGACATATAAGATTATAACTAATTATAAATATTAAAAGCAAAAAAAAAAAAAAAACCTGAATGGAGATGCTTTGAGCCCAAAGTTAAGTCATATTAACTAGACTTTATTAACTTTTAAGCGTGTTCCCTTCATATTCCAGCATTTTAAACAAATTTATTGAACTATATTTCAAAAAATCGTTATAAATGCTTGTTTTCATACATTTACCCTTGTTATTCCTTATTTTATTCAAAAAAAAATTTTAATGTCATGAAAACCAGGTCATTTTAGGAATCCAGTTCAATTTTAAACTTGCCATATCTTGTCAACTGCTCAACATATTTATGCTAAAATTTTGCATACAATATTTTTTTATAAATAGGCAGAGTCATAACTAGGCTCCCTCATATCCCTTAATTGGAGAGGGGTCAGCAAATTTAGAGCTTTTTTTCAAATTTAAAGAGCTCCTTTTTTTTAGTAATAATGTGACTTATGCATATTTCGGACTTATTATTATTTCTGATGCGTACTAAAAAATCAAATTTCCCTAATATTAAAGAATAAAAAATTATTCAAAATTTCTAAATTTCAAAAATTTAGAAATTTTAAATAATTTTTTTTTTCTTCAATATTAGGGAAACAATAGTCTTTCATAATCTAAAAACATATATTATTTATTATCATTTTTGAAATAATATGCATTCAAAGTATAATCCAAAAAATCTGATCATTAAATGTATGTGCGTGTATATGATTATTTTTTTTACTATTAAAAAAAAGCGTTTTATTTTCGCAACTTTGACTTTTTCCATATGTTTTTAATGGAATCCGAATTAACATGCACTGAATGGTATTTCGAATTTTTTAGAAGTGTTTTTATAATTAAATTTGTAAACAAAATATAGCCCTTTTTTTTTAAATGGTAAATTTTTATGCAACTTGTCGAGATCTACAAAATTATGTAAAAATATTTTTAAATTTCTAAAGTTTAAACGTCCTAGTTTTCATTCAAAGATAAAAACGTCCGAAATATGCATAACTCATGTTACCTAGAAGAAAATTTTTTAGGATTTTAGGGGCCTAATGGCGGCTTTTTTTTTGTTGTTGGGGGGGGGGGTTCTATGACCAACTGACCATGGTACTGTAATAATAATAAAAATCATATGTCAAAAGATGAAAGAAAAAGAAAGATAAATGGTTCAATGGACTCATTTTTTTATTATTAATGATTTTATAAATAATTAATTTAAGAATTTTTTTTTTATTAATACTTATTTAAATTATTATTTTATGAATTATTTTATTAATTAAATATTTATTACATTTCTTTGTACTTTATTGTTATGCATTTAGCTTTACCAAAAAATACTTAACCCTTAAGTTAATAATACCTTTTGAAACTTTCAAGTCTCCCAAAATAAGATTAATTTTACTGATACCATTATTCGCTTCACAGCTAAAAGTTCCACCATCTTCAACTAACACTGAACTTATATAAAATATCTGGTCAACAACTGTAAGACGATCATTAAGATATTTAGCTGGAGTAGGTGTTGATACATTTTTTCTATATAAAGTAACTTCAGCATCAGGATCATTTGTTTTACAAGATATGTTTAAAGCATAGCCTGCATAGACAAATTTCATAGGAGGAAATATTGGATTATTATTAAAGACCCATTTTGCTGTCAAAAACTTCAAAACTCCTTTAAAAAAAAATGCAAAAGTAATAAAATAAAATTAATTAGACTATATAATCTTATAAATTAAATATGCATAGTTCATATATATATATATATATATATATATATATATATATATATATATATATATATATATATATATATATATATATATATATATATATATATATATATATATATATATATATGAGTTTATTCCAAGAGAATTATTGGTATAGTATAAAAACTTACCATCAGAAGGTAATGCAACTGAAAACGATATAAAAAAACACAAAAGTATAGTGTTAAACATTTCATATTTTGATTGATATGACCTGTAATTAAAAAAACCTGCATAATTCAAGCTATCAAAGTATTGATATTAAATCGTAAGTTATTGATGAAGTAATGCAAATAAAAAATTTAATATTAAATGATGTTTTAAAATAGCTGATTCTTTAAGAAGGAACATCTTAAATAAATAATATTTTGATATAATTTTTCACGCAAACTTTATGTTTTGATCGTTTATAGCGCAATTCTAATGTTTACCGTTTATTGTCTAATAAACGCGCCTTCTTGCTTTGATTGCTGAACGATTTCTGACATAAATTTTTCTAAAAATTGTTTTTCAAACACGTTCGCGAATCTTCAAACGCTTCAACAAGAGCGTAATTTTGTTGCCTGAAAACTTTAAAAAAATGAGTTATTTTTTCCCGTCGCATTTGTATAACTTAAAAGGTATACTTTTTATAGAGCTTTACTATTTTATTTAAAAAAAGACTAAAAAAATGTAGTGGAAAAAGTGTAGTTATATAGATTTCCTCTAAGGAGTTGTTGATATATAAACCGTGACAAATCTTTGAGAATTTTTCCTTTAAGAAACTTGGGATCTACTTTTTTTTTTTCCTAATTGTTTATTTAGGTACTTCAAGAATAGGATTTAACACGCTTCCTTTTTTACTCATGATGCATATATAGTACGATCTGGTTTCGAACCCTGAACCTTAAGTTCTGAAGCCAGAACTCTACCTTTAAATTGAAGCATATGGCTTCTTAAATTTCACAGCATTACATTTTTATACAGCTTTGGCTGTAAAAAAATAATTATTTTTAAAAACATTATTATAAAACAATGTAACTATAGCAAATAAATAGGTTCAATAAAAAACGACGTGAAAAGTTATCAAAGTTATCATTTTAGCAAATAAAGTTGATAAAATAAATGTGTAATCAATGTTTAAAAAATTAAAATTCTAAAATAGAGAATCGATTAAAAGTCTTGTAAAATAATCAAATTAAAATACAAACAATATTGTTATTTGCCTATTTGTTCAATATTATTTTCGTTTACATCGTTTTTATTACTTTTACAGAAATTTAATATATAAAACAGTTCATCGTTTTTTTTTATATGCTTTTTATTAATTGATAACTGACGTAATTTTGTGATAAATAATAAAACGCTTTGATTTATGATAAATGATAGATTTTATCATGTATGTGTAGAAAAATAAATAATAATAAGATGCCTTTGTTCTATGAACTTTACTTTGACTCTCCTTAAATTTTTAGACCGATGTTTTGTATGTATGATATGTATATATATATATATATATATATATATATATATATATATATATATATATATATATATATATATATATATATATATATATATATATATATATATATATATATATATATATATATATATATATATGTATATATATATATATATATATGTGTATGATATATATATATATATGTATGATATGTATATATATATATATATATATATATATATATATATATATATATATATATATATATATATATATATATATATATATATATATAGCTTCCACGACAAATTGTCATCCAAGATCACACCTAGAAAGTCTATAAAAGTTTCACTTTTTATATTAGTATTATTTATTTTTAGATCAGGTAGTTTAAGAGGAATATTTTCGTTTTTATTTGGTTTATGAACTAGGATCAATTTGGTTTTTTTGACAATCAAAGAGAGTCTGCTACACCTAAACCATTCGTTTATTTTATGTAATTCTTTGGTAACTATGTTAAAAAGTTTCTTAATGTCTCTGTGTGAATAAAACAAATTGGAATCATCCGCAAACAAGATTAAATTTAATAAGTTTGATGTTGAATATAAATCATTTATATAGAGTAAAAATAATAATGGTCCCATGATGGAGCCTTGGGGAACCCCGCAAGTTATGGCGCTATTTGTTATTTTTGTTGTTTCATACTGAATATATTGCTTTCGGTTTGATAAACAATCTTTAAACCAACGTAAGTTATTATTTTTTACTCCATACACCTCGAGTTTTTTTAGAAGAATGTCGTGATTTACGGTGTCAAAAGCTATAAAAAGATCAATAAAAACACCTAACGTAAAGCAATCATTACTAAAAGCATTAGATATTTGATTAACAAGCTCAATTATAGCATGGTTGGTTAAGTGGTTTTTTTAAAATCCAAATTGTTTACCGTATAAAAAATTATTTTCCGTCAAATAATTGTAAAGTCATGTAAAAAAAAAAATTGTAAAATACATGTAAAGTATATAAAGGCGAGTTTCCACTCATCCGTTTTTCAACTGGAAAAAAAAAATAATCACGTGAGCATGCGTAATAAAAGTTTTTATTTGTCCGAAAGAAAACTGCGCATGCTCACGTGATTATTTTTCCGTTCCCTTTCCCTTTCCCGTAACGGATGAGTGGAAACTCACCTTAATACATGACGAGTTCAAGTAATTGGGGAAAACATGGTAAAACTGGTATAGGTTCATAATTATTAGTATGAAAATCATCATCAGATTTAAAAATAGGGGTGACTCGGGCAATTTTTAGTTTATCTAGGACAATGCCTGATTTTAGTGAAAGATCGAAGATGTGATGAAATGATGGTTCAATGATATCAAATACTGATTTTACGACAAAGCTACTGATATTATCAAAGCCCACACTTTTGTTGTTTTTTAGATTGTTTAAAGCGGATCGCAACTCATTAGAATCTAGATGTATTTCTTTTATAATCTTTTCTAAGGTAAGTTTCTTAATCAAGTAAGAATGAAATGTTGCAAAATTCGCCGGAATTTCTGCTGCTAAATTGTGACCCACATTAAGAGAAAAGCTATTTAGATATTCAGCTATTATTATCTTATCTCTGACTAATTTACCATCAATTAAAAGCTTTTTCGGCAGATTGCTTTTTGTACAGTTATTATTACCGATTATCTCTTTAATCGAATTCCATGTTTTCTTAGCATTTCCATGGTTTTTTTTTCAACAAATTTGACTAATAAAGCTTTATTGAGTATTGTTTTGTTTTTCAAACAAGTTTTTATAATTTTTGTAAGTTATTTCATTTTTATAAATTTTATTTTTTAGGAATTTGTCGTAGAGTTTTTTGTTTTTTTTGAGGATTTGATTAAACCTTTAGACATCCAAGGAGTTAGAAGTGACTTTTTGTTTATAACAACAATTTTAACTGGAAACGCTTTTTCATAATATTTACAAAATTGACCTAGAAAAAGTTCGTAGGCGTTGTTCGCATCGCTTGATTGCAATATAAGATCCCAATCAACATTGTTTTTTAGTAAAATTTTGAATTTTTGTAAGGAGTTTTCATTGATCTCTCGTTTGTATATAGAAGGTTTGGGAGAGGTATTGTTTGGTGCTATGTTTTTAGCAAATAAGACGGTAAGAAAGTTAACCTGAAATGTCTGTCTTAATTTTACCTGTGAAAACATAGGAATTGTTGGTTATTATATTTTCGACTAAGGTAGAAGAATTTTTAGTTATTCTGGTTTGCTAGATAATTGTTTAAATGAAGTTGTGCTCAAGTAGAGTATCAACAAAATGTTTAACATTATTATTAGAAGTATGCTTCAACAAGTTTATATCACCAACTATGTAAACATGCTTTTGTGCGTTATTAATTTTGTTTAAGAATGCTTTAAAAAAAAAAGCTTAGATGAGTTTTTGAATGTTTTAAAATTCCCACCTGGTTTTCTATAAATAGTATTTATGATTATGTTTTTAGAGTTTTTATTAACTAATTCTATGCATAATGACTCACAATCTGTTTCATTCACACTAAGATACCTACGCAAAATAAAGTCGATTGAATTGTGGATATAAATACTTACGCCTCCCCCAGCGTGAATTTTCCGCGGTTGATGAACAGATGTATAACTTTTTAATTCAAATTGTGGAAAATCACATTTACACCAAGTCTCTGTAAAACAAATAATGCCGAAATCATGTTTTATTTCATCAAGTAAAAATTTAAATTTTAGTTTTTTTATAAAATTTAAATTTTTCGAAACAGTAAAACTATTTGAAAAAGCAAGTAGTTCAGTGATCAATTCCTCAAAAACCAAGGGTCACGCACTTGGGGGTTTTGTTCCTAAAATGTACCCAGAATTGGACAACATATAGTGGACCAATAACACCGGTTTTAAAATTTTAGGTATATATATATATATATATATATATATATATATATATATATATATCATCAACCGCTTTTTAGAAAAAAAGACGTTTTACACCAGACTGAGTAATACTACCAATTTCAACTGGCTAGTAACATTAAACAAAATAAAGAAAAAACTCAAGTTTCTGGGACTACGTTTTTTGTCATTTAGGGGAAAGAGTATGTTGATAAATACATACGAGCAATGTCAAAAGTGTGGTTTCTGGCAAACGTGCTACACAGTGCCATATTCGAAAATCTGTGGCAAAAGACCAATTACAATCCGGTCAAAAGAGAGACACTTTTCTTACCCGTCAAAAACGGGGGTCTCGGAATTTTATCACCAAAGGAGCAAAGCCTTGCACTTCGCCTCAAAACACTCTTTCAACTGAAAGAATGCGGAAAGGATTTTTTTTTATTTTTATTTTTTTATTTATTTATTTATTTTTTGTCAAGCAACCATTTACAATTAAAGGTAATTTCCGATAAAAAATTTAAAAATATTAAATACAAGTACATTTCATTATTTATAATTGTTACGAGACTGGAGAACCTGAAGAATATAAAATCTTATCATCAGTAACTTTTGATAATAAAAATTGGAAATAAAAGTGTATTGTTAGAAAAAATCATGTAAAGAATCTTGATTGGTAATAAGTTCAATTATGTTCTTTCTAAATTTTTGAGAGGTATTGGCTTCTTTAAGTTTACCACTCAGGCTTGTAAAATGGTTCCATAGCATTGGGCCACGATAGGAAATGGCAAAACTCGTAAGTTTTGATGTACGGAAAGGTTTTTTAAATCTTCCAGTAGATCGCGTGTTGTATCGGTTTAATGTTTTATGGAAAATATTTTCAAAAACCTTTGGCGTTTTTTTTTGACTGATGTTGAAACATAAATTGTGTAATTTTGAAAATATTTAACTCATAAATATCAAGTGCCCTCATACTTTTTAGAAGAGGTTTAGCATTTGTGAGGCGATTTTGAAAATGAATAATGCGTGCTGCATGATTCTGTTGTTTAAGGAGACAGTCGAGATTAAATTTATTTTTACAACCCCAAACAAT